CTCTGAACTGGCTCTGCTCTCTGAACTGGCTCTGCTCTCTGAACTGGGTCTGCTCTCTGAACTGTCTCTGCTCTCTGCAGCTTTCAGGAACCTCCTGTTGTCTTTTCTGAACCTCCTGTTGTCTCCTCTGAACCTCCTGTTGTCTCCTCTGCACCTCCTGTTGTCTCCTCTGAACCTCCTGTTGTCTCCTCTGAACCTCCTGTTGTCTCTTCTGAACCTCCTGTTGTCTCCTCTGCACCTCCTGTTGTCTCCTCTGCACCTCCTGTTGTCTCCTCCGAACCTCCTGTTGTCTCCTCTGAACCTCCTGTTGTCTCCTCTGCACCTCCTGTTGTCTCCTCTGCACCTCTTGTTGTCTTCTCTGAACCTCCTGTTGTCTCCTCTGCACCTCCTGTTGTCTCCTCTGAACCTCCTGTTGTCTCCTCTGAACCTCCTGTTGTCTCCTCTGAACCTCCTGTTGTCTCCTCTGCACCTCCTGTTGTCTCCTCAGGTGTGTTTGGGCTGGCCCGTCGCCTCCTTTCCAGGTGAACGGGTCGGTCTTCAGAGGTGTGCTCAGAACAATCTGAGAGTCAAACCGGGGGACTCTGTGAACCTGCACCCCATCACTGGACCAGTGATCCAGGTTGAAGAAGTAGTTCTTTCTAATCGGTGCGTTTATTCTGTTTTTTATTTTCTAAAATACGTCGGGTCACTAAACTGTAACATGATAGTCCGAATGTTTCTGAATCATTCTCACGACTGTCATCCGCTTTTCTTCCGTATGGTTTTCAAGCTATTAAAAAAAACAGTTCAGCTCTTTCAGGACAATCCTGCTATGACTTTTGGTTTTGGTGCAACTTTAGCTCTTTGAATTATTTAGTCTTTTCTGAAAAAAAGTTCTCATAGAAAATGAATTGAGTTCATTTTCCATCCTTCAGATGTGTTTACAACCTTTTACTGCTCCTTTCACATTTTGTTCTGCTTCAGCTTCTTTCAGCTTCCTTCTGCAAATTTAAACTTTTTTTCAGCTACTTTCAGCTGTTTATCAGCTGCTTTGTGCTCCTTTCAGATTATTTCTGCAAGGTTCAGCTTTTTATGCTACTTCAGCTACTATTTAGCTGTTTTTATGCTAATTTGAGCTTTTTCAGTTAATTCCACTTTTGTTGTACTCATTAAAAAAAATCAGCTTAATTCAGCAAAAATATGCTCTGTCCACTTCATTCTGGTAATTTAAGCTTCTTTCTGCATTTTTAGCTACTTTTCAGCTGGTTTTATGCTAATTTTAGTTGTTTTTTTCAGGTAATTTCTACTTTTTTGTGCTCATTTCTGCTTCTTTTAGCCTAAGTGAGCAGACATGTTCTTTCTGCTTTCATAAGCTAATTTAAGCTTGTTCTAATTTTCAGCTACCTTTTTTTTTGTTGTTGCATTTTGTAAATTGTTTTCAGATAAATTCAAGTTTTTCATGGTAATTTCTGTCAATTTCCGTTTGTTATCTTAATTCAGCTTCTTTCTGCTAGTTTCAGTTATTTCAGCTAAATTTTAGCTGTTTTTGTGCTAATATTAGCTTTTTCAGCTAATTCCACATTTTTTAGCTTATTTGCGCATTTTCTGCTTTCTCCTGCTGATTTTCACTTTTTCTACATTTTCAGCTACTTTTCAGCATGTTTTAGCTAATTTCAGCTGTTTTGTTGCAAGTTCTTCAACAATAAGCATTCACTGCATTTTCACAGGAGTTGCACTTCTCTAGGTAACAAATACGTCGACTATATCTAGTTTGGTAGATACACAAACAATGTTCTTGAATAACATCCAACATACTCACAACTATCACTTGTGACAATTTTATTTCAGCTGTTTTAGATTATTTTAAGTTAATTCAAAGTTTATTTATAAAATCCTGGTTTTCATCCTTTTTAACTGAGTCGATTTGTTCTCGTTTGGCGGTTTCTTGAGCCGCTTCTCGCCTTTGTTTTTATTTTCCTCCGTGCGTTGTTGTGTTCTGTGGCAAGTTTGTAAAGTCATGGAGCAGATTAAAACAAACAAGCATCCTCTTCTGATCATGTCCATGTAGAGATTAAACGTGGTTCAGTTTTTCTTCCATGTAGAGATTAAACGTGGTTCAGTTTTTCTTCCA